CCCCTCAGCAGTGTACTTCGTTGATCTGCCTGTTCTGCTCCCCACTCTGTCTCTGGTGAAGCCTCTCACCCTCCCCATCTCTGCCCTGTACCCCAGTTCTGTATGAATAAATAAATAAATCTTAAAAAAAAATAGGTAGATATTTTAAAAGTAACCAGTTTTTACAATTTTTTTGTAAAAAAAAATTTTAACAAATTTAAAAATTGTGTTACTATGGTGCAACAATGGGCTAATTTTTTTCTTGAATAGCATTATTTTTTCCACTAAAAATGATACCTCCAGAAATATATTTTTAAAAAGTTGTCCTGTCAGAGGCTGTTGATTCTGCAGCTATCTAATTTGGATCTGGAGTTGCAGTGGTCTAGCACTTGAAACTGTACTCAGTAACATTTGTGTAGCATTTTCTGCTTTCCCACACTTTACTTCATCAAAGCATCAAAAACCAAGTTGGTGGCTAGGAGTCCCCCATTGTACAAATGAAGAAACAGATTCAGATAGAGTAAATAATTTGCTCATGATCTTGGTTATGATTCAGATAGAGTAAATAATTTGCTCATGATTGTATAATTCGTCTCTTTCCCTTTCACCCATTGTGCTACTCACTGAAAAAGTGCTTTGTAAACAATGAAGACCCTGCTGTAATTGGTGGCCACTGATATGAGGGAGTGATCAGAAAGCCAGAAATAGGAATGTGCTATGGACTCCACTGATTCTGGTGCGAGTGATGTTCCCACTTGGTTCTTTGAGTTATTGTGGTTGTAGCTTATAGTCATTTTGCAAGAACTGGCAGTCTATGAGCAGGAGACAGAACATGACAGAAGACCTAGTGGTTGTGTAATTATCCTTGTCAAAGCAAAAAGCAGAACTGGAAAGTAGGTAAAGTGGTGAAAGTGGATTTTCCTCAGCACAAATGCAACAGCGGGAAGGAGACCTCAGTATGGAACTGAGGTCTATTCTATTGACAGCCTGGGCAAGTGGGGGTTTTAGCCAATGAAAGAGTATAGGTTAGTGGGTGGGAAATTATTAGGAGGAAACATCAGAGTTGAGGGCTAAACCAACCTAAGAGGATTCTTGCTGAAGACAGACTAGGTGATAAGACATCATCCGGGGAATGATGGAGGATGGGCTTAACCATATCCTGAAAGTGATCATCATATATCGAGGATGAGAGATTCTGGTTAAACTGATTTAGGGAAGTTATTGCTATAAAACTGGGTTTTACAAGAAAGTACACAGGTGAACCTAGCAGAATGTTTGGGAGTCTGACTAAAGTTTGGTCAAGCAAAGAATCTTTGTCATCCCAGGGCAGTCTCAAAGCAATAAAGAAACATGTGACTTTTCCTTGTCACCTGTGGTGGAGGCATATCAGAGTAAGCTGGGACTCAGTTCTTCCCAGGTCTGGTTGGTGAATCTGTAGAAATCCTGCCAGGGCTTGATTTACAGAGTATTAGGGGCACAGCAGGCTAAGGATGAAGTGTCCGAGTTCTGGGAACTTAGAGGGTTCTGTTATGACCCTGATTCCCCATGTCTGAGCTGAGGGCTGGAAGGCGAGGTGTAGAGAAGCAAAAGTTGTTGACTTGCAGAACTTGGAAGCACCTATGGGGCTGCTTGGGTGATGAGTGTCCCCAGTGTCACAGGGAAGGAGGGGACACTCCAGGAAAGCCAAGCGTCTCCAGGGAAGCCAAGCATCTCCCACTCCAGCTGTGCAGATTTCACTCCTGGGAGGCAGCTCCACCCTCAGAGATAGTCTGGTCCATGTGTGTTCATACAGGCAAGTATGACACATTGAATTTTCCTTTTTTTTTTTTTTCATCTAAAGAGTAATATACTTTCAGAAATTTAACTTCTTGAGTAAATCTTTTCTCAGTCAGTTTCCCTTAACCATCAGCTCTGTCAAGGCCCAGAGGGAGAGAAAACAGGGAGTATCACCTGCATTCTGGGACCTATCTTCCAGCTGTCCATCAGTGATGTGAGGGTGTGTGGGAACATTGCCTTTGGGGGCACTGTGGTGAATCCTCACTGCAATCGCATTTTGAAATTTCCAAAGTTATTTTACCCCAACGATGACTATCATTTATTAGGCATTTCTAAGCAGTGTAGCTGAATTTGGAGTAGTTACACAGGTGTAGTGTGGTCATGGTGCTATTTACAGGTACATACATGTGCCCATAATTAGGCTTCCCCCCACCTTGGAAAGAATGGGCAGGGAGGCCAGTCAGCTCATGAACAGTGCAGTGGTTCTCAACAGCAGCATTTAGAAAGCCCGAGTAATGCTCACTCAAGGAGATCAGGGCTTGGGGGCTGGAAGTGTGAGATGTCGTACAAAGTCCAGATAATTCCTTAAAGAAAGGATGTTTCTTGAATCCGAATTTAACTTCAAATGCCCCAGACATTTATGTCCTTTTACAAAATCCAGTATTTAAAAATTATCTGATGTTAAACCTAATTTTGTTTTCTATGTAAACACAGAGGATTTTATGCATAGTTTCACATACATTTTCCAGAAATGAGAGTACTCTGGGAACTGAGGGAAGTTCACATTTTGTTTTCTTTGAACCTTTTTTTTTTATTTAATTTTTTATATAGTTTACATCATTCTTCCTTTTTGTACAATGCATGATTTCACCTCTCAAGTGTAGTCCCTGCAAAGTTCCCACCACCAGTTCACCCGCGCACCATCACCATAGTCCCTTGTGCTCTTCCCTCCCTCCTTTTGATCCCTCTCCCTCTCCTGCTCTGCAGAGGGTCTCTGACTAATAGTTGCCTGTTAATTTTGTTTTTAAATTTATTATAATTATTTTTTCCTGGTCCCTTGTTTGGTTCCCCTACATTTCTCCTACAAGTGGAGCCATCTGATAATCTTCTTTTTCCTTCTGGCTTACTTCGCTGGGCATGAATCCCTTCCAGCTCCATCCATGTCACTACGAATGGCATGAATTTATTTATTTTTTTGATTACTGAATTGTGTTCCATTGTGTATGTAACCACATCTTCTTGATCCAGTCATCTATTTTTGAGCATTTGGGTTGTTTCCATAACTTGCCTATTGTAAATAGTGCTGTTAAATATAGGGGTGCAGGTAGCCTTTTGAATTAATGTTTTTGTATCCTTTAGGAATGGAATTGCTAGATCATATAATAGCTCCATTTTAGTAGTTTGAGGAACCTCCACACAGCTTTCCATTGTGGTTAGAGTAATTTGCATTCCCACCAGCTGCGTAGGAGAATTCCTTTTTCTCCACAGCTTGGCCAGCACTTGTTTCCCTTTTTTTTTTTTTTTTAAATTTATTTATTTATTCATACAGAACTGGAGTCCAGGCCAGAGATGCGGAAGGTGAGAGGATTCACCAGGGACAGAGTGGGAAGCAGAACAGGCAGATCGACGAAGTACACTGCTGAGGGGAGCAGCGGGCGGGTCAGGAGAGGTCTGCGGAGCCATGTGGATCTCCTCGGGGCAGGCGGGGATGGAACTCATGTGGAAGTGGCTTAAAGCTTCTAGTGCTGTGCTTTAACCCGCTGGGCCGCCAGGGAGGGCTCTT